GGTGCTGCACACAGCACTCCAGTGTGTAACATCTCATCTCCCAGGGATGTACAAAGGGAGGCTGCCCTGCCCCCCCTGAGGCTCAGTAAGGAGCCATCCTGTCAAGCAGAAGTTACTCTACCTTTGAACTTCTGTTGCTTGGCAACTTTTTCCTGACAGTTGCATCCTCAGAGACCTTGGAAGTCTCCAGATCACACATTTTCAGACTAAACAGTTTATCCATTCTTTAATCTCCATTATTGCATTTATGGTTAGTAACTATTTTCACAGTCTGTATTAAGATAAATCCTACCTACTCTGATGTCATAGAATCACAGAATATTTTGAGTTGGAGGGGACCCGTAAGGATCATCAAGTCCAACCCTCAAGTGAATAGGGATTGAACCCAGAGCCTTTGCATTATTAGCTCAATTCTCTAAAGAGCTGAGTTTACCTGAGGGTCTTTTGTAAAGCCTGCTCACCTGCCTTATTGACAGTCTTGTTTGTCAAGAAAAACATGATACATTCCTTGTGCTGTTGGGTGACAGATAAATGGTAAAAATAAACTAAAATTGCTGTGTTTGGTGAGGTAAGGATTGCTTGAAGAACTTGTGCCATAGGAACTGTTGTTGCCTTCTACTCTCCTGCGCCCTCTCATTCTCTGCAGCACCACAGGAGAAAGGCTACAGAACAGCACTGCAGGCTTCCCTGCAGCAGCTAAACTAACAGAGAAAGGATGAGAAATCTCTCCTGACCTGAAAGCAGCAAGGCAGATAGGGAACTTGCTCACAAAACGAGAAGAAATCCATTACTCCATCTCACTTTCCTCATTTTGGTGCACCCAAAATCAGTTTTCTTTTCTACAACGTCATGCAGAGTCTTTACACCTGGAACAACAGGATCATCTGTATGCGGCAAGTGACGCTGTGCTCCTGGGATTTTCTCTGCTTTACTACTTTATTTCATTCTCTAGGAAAATATTCATCTCCTCTCTGTGTGGATGAGCAGTGATGAAAATGGGTGTTAGCTTCCATTACAGTGGCTAGGAACTCATTTCATGTGCTTGCTGGTGCAGTCAGACCAAAATATAAGTACATAGAAGCAAAGTAAGAAAATGTAAACCAGAGCCATCTATAGCTATTTTAGCATCTGTTCTGCTTCGCATGCAGGTATCCTGTCAAATTCAAAGTCAGTTTAATCACTTCCCCCATTATTTCAGAGGAATTCCTAATTTGTGATATTAGTACTTCCTGGGGTAGAAGAGAGACAAGACACTTCAGTTTATCATCACAGTGGTTCAGTGCATCTGCCTAATCTTGCTCTGAGCAGTGGATTTTTATTGTGGCGCTCGGGGATAACAATTTAGATAGATCTGGAAGTTGCAAGAATTCCTCCAAAAGAGAGGTTTCAGATTGAATAAAACATTTTGTTTAACTTGAAAAGGGAATGTTTTAATTTTAAGAATTCCTGCATCATTTGTGTTAGATATTTACATCTCTTGGGGCTCTTTTCCCTCAATTATTTGTGTGCTATAGCTTCAGGAAAGTGGATTACTGGTGACTAAGAGTACAGAAGCCACTGTAGGGAGAAAATTTCCTTCTATAACAGGGTAACCCACCTAGCTGATCAAGGGAAACCGCTAGATGCAATCTTTTGGATCTCAGCAAACCTTTTGATAGCACCTCTCTCAGTATCCTTCTGGACCAAATACCCAGCACCCAGCTCGATAAACACCCCATCATGTGATGGGTGAGCAACAGGCTCATGGGACGGGTACAAAGGGTTATAGTGAATGGGGTGACATCAGCTGGCATCCGGTCTCACAGGGGATGTGACGAAAGTGGGGTTTCACAGGGCTCCATTCTTGGCTCAGTTCTCTTCAACATTTTCAACAACTCAGAAACAGGACTTGAAGGATCACTAAGTTTGCCAATGACACTAAACTGGGAGCAGCTATCAACTACCTCAGGGGCAGAGAGGCCCTGCAGAGAGACCTAGACAAATCAGAGGGCTGGCAACCACCAACAATATGAAATTAAAGAAGGAAAAATGATGGATTCTGCAACCAGGATGTGGCAAGCCTTGTTGTGTGTACAGACTGGGGGATGAGATGCTGGACAGCAGCACTGTGGAAAGGGTTCTGGGAGTCTGGTCTGTGGCAAGTTGAACACGAGCCAGCAGTGCCCTGGCAGCCAGGAGGAACAACCCTGTCCTGGGGGGCATCAGGCACAGCATGGCCAGCCAGGCATGAGAGGGGATTGTCCTGATCTGCTCTGAGCTGGGGCAGCCTCACCTCCAGTGCTGGGGGCAGTTTTGAGTGCCACAATATTAAAAAAAACACATTAAGCTATTAGACAGCATCCAAAGGAGGACAACGAGGATGGTGAAGGGCATTGAGGGGAAGCCACGTGAGCAGTGGCTGAGGTCACTTGGTCTGTTCAGCACAGGGAAGAGGAGACTAAGGGGAGGAGAGGTCATTTCAGTCTGCAACTTCCTCATGAGGGGAAGCAGAGGGGCAGGAACTGATCTCTGTGATGACCAATGACAGGACTCAGGGAAAAGCATGAAGCTGAGTCAGGGGAGGTTTAGGTTGGATATCAGGAAAAAACTTTTTACCCAGAGGGTATTTGGCACTGGAACAAGCTCACGGGGGAAGTGTTCACAGCATCAAGCCTGTCTGAGTCCAGGATATGTTTGGACAATGCTTTCAGGCAGATACTGTGATTCTTGGTTTGACAACTTTTGACCCTTGCATGAGGTCAAGAGTTGGACTCAGTGATCCTGAGGGTCCCTTCCAACTCAGCATATTCTGCAATTCTGTGATTCTATGCAGCACTATAAACTAAAAAGCAATCGAACAAAATTAGATGTTCTTTCCTTGCACCCCAGAGGAAAAAGGGACATTCCTTGTTCTGCACAGGAGTAAGAGAAACCAGACTTAATTTCCAGAGGTTTCTGCTGAGCACTCAGTTGCCAGCTCACAGCCAGCTGGCCCTTTGGGAAGGTATGTCAGACCTGGACATGAACATAGCCTTACTGAGCAAAGAGCCACAGTGAAAACCAGAAATATCCAAATACACTGCCTCTGGGCACCCCAGTAACCCTTCTTTTGAGTTTTTGTGAGGCTAACGCTCTTGATAAGCTGTATATTATATGCTGCTCTTCAGCCATGCTCAGTAGTAATTCTCCAACAATTCTCTTCCTGCAGGAGGAGTTTCTTGGCACTGCTTCTCCTGACCTCTGGGGTCTAAGAATGGAACAGGAAAATCCTCTGCAAAGGTGCCATGCCAGCTGTGACAGAACTGTTAGTGCTCAGCTGTGCCAAGTAGTGGAGGGGAGGGGGAATTACAACTTTGACTCTTCTGTACTTCTATAAACTGATCTAGACTCACTCACTCTGTAGATTTTAACCCTACAGGGAAAAGTAATTCATTCCCTGTTTCAAACATGAATAGCAGAGGGTCCAATTTTAAGGCTTTTCAGTTGTAGCACAAACATTTCTGCAAACTAGGTCTGGCTGACCAAGCCAAACCCATGTGTACACCAGCAGGGACTCGTGCCTATCCCAAATGCCTCTTTAGTCACTGCTTGTCCTGAGAGTATCCACTGAGCTTTCAGCCCCAGGCATGACAGCAAACTCTTACTTCTTTAAATACACAGTGAATACAGTTACAGTAGACAATTTGACGTAATTTTAATTAGTTTCTTGTAATTCTCACACACTGACTATCATGGACTTCCAACTTTAAAAAATGACAAGTTGAATATTAATTATTACATCCTCAGTGAGAAGGCATTATAAAATAGGTAGATGCTACAATATACTGGAGTAGAATTAAATAAAAAAAAAATTTTACATTTTGATCTTTATATAATTAATAATTGATTTTGGCCTTAACTTGTCAGGTATGTAATTACAGTCCTACTGGGAATACTTGCTAAGAAATGGTTCCCTATACATATATTATAAGAAAATATTATATAATGTGTCTTTTCTTTTTCACATATGTGAAAATACAAAGTTTGGAGGAAGTAGGGATCTATCACTGCTGCAGTACAGGAACATTTGTGATGGTACCTCCAGGAGCCAGGAACAGAATGTGCACCATGCTGGAAAGAGCACGCCAGTGTCATCAGTGTTAATGTCCATTTTTGCAATTCATAGTTTAGACAAAAAGGTAGAGACTTCCAAATCATATTTTTGTAACTTCACACATAATGTGATGTTAAGTCCACTGGCTATGCCAAATGTAAAAGTTAAAAAGCCATCATATGTTATATTTATTATTAAAGAAAGGCAATTAGGAGCTGGTTGCAGCAGTATACTGAGGTAGCAATCTGGCTGCTTCAGAAAATAAAGGAAGCTGCCTTCAGGGAAGGTAATGATGCAGTATCCTGTTGTTTCTAAACTAATTCACAAAGAAATTCAGATTCTAATCAAAAAGGAAAGGATGGGGAACCTGGCGCCACTATAAACCTTCTGGACAAAGGTTTGCCTTATTGTTAAAACTATATAATTTGTAAATATACCAGAAGTGTATGAAGAAAAAGACATGTTCTAAGAGGCAAAGACAGACCTCCTGTAAACCAAGTTTGTTTTCACTTCAATGTATCATCAGTTAATACTCCCAACTAAGAATAATTTTAGAAAGAAAAAAAAATATAATGTAAACACTAATGCCTCTTATATCATTAAAGTTCAGTTACTTGTTACAGCTTTCATCAAAGGGAAAGAGTTTGTCATTTTTTCAGTGCCTTTTTGTTCTCAAAACTTTCTATCATCTATCCTTCTCTGTTCACTCAGTTTTAATGAAATAATCCCCAAGAGGAACTGAAATACCTATCTGTAATCCACAGTATCAAGACATTTGCTAAAAAGGAATAAAACATATGTATAAAAGATTCTCTAATTCTTCTTAAGGCTTATAAACTTAGAACTTATTTGATTAAGATAGTCCATGCAAACTCTGTGCAACAGAAGTTTTCTATAAATTTCTCATTTAAAGACAAGTTCTAGGTACTTCTTCTCAGAGGATCCAAATCTGGGTGGAATCATCATGCAGCCATGCAGTGGAAGTCAGTGGTGAAATGCAACTGCACTTGGAACTGAAAAACAGGAAAAATGAACCAGGGGTTTGGGTTAGGATATCCAAGCTGCTCTCAAACTAATGTGTACCCTGACTTTAATTTCTGTAGTGAAAAATGACTGACAGTGTTGCCATCTTTAGAAAGTCAGCCTCCAAAGCCTCTGTCAAAGGATTGTTATAAAAAATTTCATTAGCCTAAAATCTCCCAAGTTTCTGCCTTAAAATGACTTCAGACTGTACGGTCTTGTCCTACCCACATGTGACAGCCCATATCAAATATTTTGCAAGGCTTTTGCACTTAGGGATGATTGGTAACAGTCCCTACTTCCAGCTAGGATCATGTACTTTGGTAATATATTTTCTTTTAACAGAAGCTGCTACTTGCTAACACACAAGTGCATCCTTGGGAAGAGAAGCACTCCCTGCTCTTTGGCATGGGACATCTCCTCACCATTCAACACATGCAGTTGGCAATGCTTGCTCCTGTCAGCACAGGCAGCTCTTGCCATCCAGTGTGGAAACTCTTCAAGGCCTGAGAATGATCAATTATTTTTTTTTCCCCACTAAGTTTTAGTGCAAAGTGCAAACTTTACAGTTTGCTATAACCCTTGGAAAAGCAGACTGAACTGTTTACAAAATCAATTAAGCGCTGTGTTTGCACAGAGAAAAGAAGGAGCAGTGTTTGAAAAGGGCTTCTCTCTCTTGGCAACAGCAGCACGTGTCAGACACTGGCCAGAAAGGGAGATTTTAATTCTCTGTCTTAGCAAAGAGAAATGGAGGTGAGTCTAGGCTACAAAAGATAGATGTGAAGGCAGAGCAATGTGGCTGGCAGAGAAAAGCAGCAGGATGACAGAGTCTGGAGGAGGAAGGCTGTCTGTGGATGTTGGGCTCTTTTCCAGTTGGTTTTTGGGTTTTTTCCTACCGATTAGGTCCCTACAGAGCAGACAGGTACATTTAGGCTCCATTCCATGGTCTTCTGCTTTGAAAGAAAATTCTCACTAGTCTTCCTGGTCTGCAGCAGTGGGTGGTTGTGTGATGCAAACCAGGGTGCAGGCTGATTGGAGCCACACAGCTTATTTGGCACTGGCTTCTCCTCCTGCCAAGTTTCTGCAGTCCCACTATACCATGGGAACTGCCTGCATGTAGTCTTTGATTCTGCAGTACAAACAAAGCACTCTTTATTCACGTGGAGAAGGAAAGTGAGCTCATATGAGCCACTAGCTGGGAATGATCATATGGTCTAATGCCTGTACAGCTCCTATCTCACACATCTGCTCCTCTGCACCCTGGATATAGGGAACACAGGGGCCAGGCTTCCAAGTGAGAAACACACCACAGCTGTGTTAACACGTACACCAGGATTCACATTTGAAGGCAGAGGAAATGGGCACTAAGTCTTGGTTTGGTAAAAGAAGAAATATGAGAGTTGATCTGCAGATTGATGTGGTTCTCCAGTGGATTTATCCTAACTCATACATTCAAGGTCAGAGGTAACAGATGATGCTGAATTTGGATTCTGAGCTCCCAACACCTGCAATTTTTGTACCTACTCAGTTTTAATTTTAATTCATCTCCATTTTATGTAATTTCCTGAAAATTACACCTTTGGTAATGCTGAAGAGGCAATATTATTTTAGCCGTTCTTTTCAGCCTATCAGAAAAGTTATGTTAAATTTAAATGTAGTGGCCTAAATTAAGGCTGAGCTTCAGCCACCAACCAGCTGAAAGCTTTTCTCACTGATATACTGAAGAAATAGTTTATTCTACCATGTGCATCCAAGGGCACAGCTAAAATGTCATCCATATATGGCAGAGTTCCCAAGATGCAACTTTTTATTGTTTTTTATAGTGTTGCCATGTAAATGCAGACACATCCTTACCAAAATGGGAAGAATTGTGGAGACAGTGTTGTCAGAACAAAGGAGACTAAGCAGACAAAACTTAAACAAATGCAGTCTTATTTCTAAAAATAATTTCTAAAGTGTGGTAGTATTGCCACTTTCAAATAAGAAAGAGAAAGCTCTATAGTGCAGTAAAAAGTATTTAGATCTTGTGGTATTACAGAAACGTTCAATAGCAATAGAATAGTACCTACCATTTCAATTTTTTGGTCCAGATATCCAGATGTGCTCTAAAAATAGTAATTAAACAACTGCCACCACTCCTGAGAGACATATGGAACACAGACCATTACAGGAAGAATTTCAATTTAAATAATTTCAACTGGGTGACCAGCCACAGAGACTCTCAGCTTCACAGCTGGCACAAATATCTCAAATGACACATCTTACACACCAGTTACATACCCTCTGCATTTCTTAATGTGCTGTAACTAAGCTTTCAGAACAGCTTCCTTCTCTTTTCTGTGCCTGAAAACCCCACTGTATCGTAGAGAACATAACATTTTTTCAAAGTTATAACCCTGGATTTGTGATTTGGAGTTAGAATATGACTTCAGTTTGATGTTTTCCTATGGATCAGAGGAGTTGAAAACTCAGCTGTAGAGTGATTGGCATGGCTGTGCTTCCAATTAATGGGAAAGGGAAGTATACTGAATGTATAAAATGCCCCAGGCTGTAGCCTTTCCTCTGAATCTAAACCCTGTTGCCGAGGTTCTGGCTGCAGTTGCCCACTTAATTTTTCTACCTGACATCCTTATTCATGTTCTCCTTGTCCAAACTGAACTGACCACCCACTGCAGTCATAAAAAGCAGCATGACAAGGGGACACCTCAGCAACATTAGATCCTGTTTCTGTTCTCTTTTTCTGTTGTGTCTCTGAGTACCCTGGCAGAATCCACTGCTTCCTCATGCATTTTGTGCAGCATTGGGCACTGTTGGAGGTCCCAGCTAAGCACCTCCTGTGGCTACTTTGCATTTTTGATTCTTTAATCCTTCACCCTATTCTTTTAAGACTTATCTTCTGTAGCTTCACTTGGGTTTTTCTTCAGCTTGCTGCCTCTACCTCTCCCTTTTGGTGTTTCTCTACACTCCCTTGTATTTGGGGGACACTTTTTACAGTGATTATGGGAAAAGCAATAACCCACAGAAGATGTAGGAGAAATACAAGTGGGGCCATTATGAAATAACACATCTTCTAAATTCTCTCCCAGCCACTACCATTTTGTGGCTGAGACTCACAGGGAAGGAAGACATGTCTTTTTACTTAATAGAATTTGATGGATTTTTTTTTTTTATTTGCTTGTTCAAAGAGATGCCTTATCAGAATTAATCAAACTGTGGCCAAACACAAAGAGAAGTTTTTGAATATATGTAGTGTAAACCCTGTGTATACATCATCCAGTTCTCTTTGGCAGCAACTCCATAGATGCTTTCAGATTTTTCAGGAGGATTTTAAACCTGTTTTAGAAAATCACTGCTATTAAAGAATTATTTTTCTTCTTGTTTCTGATATTTTCACTGAAATTTGCAAGATGAATATGCACAGCTTTGTTTCAGTAAGGAACTTAAGAAGCCAGCGGGTAATTTAGATTGCCTGGAAATTTTTTTTACATTTGGCAGTTTGTCCCTAACCTTATTAATTCCCAGAACAACCATGACAGATATTCATTGTTCCAGCATTCCAGAGGAACACAGTAAAGACCTTACCAATATTAAAGCTTCCACTGCCCACTGTAATCCCTACTGAAAGGTGAAAGTTAGTTATGCATTAGCTACACACCAGAGTTTATGTAGTTACACCCCATTGATCAACTGCCCCTGCAGCACTGAAGTCACCTGAAATTAATTTCTTGCAGCAATATTCTGATTAATGCAAATTTCAAAATGTATGGCTCTCTTTTCAGATTGTAATCACACTTACGGGTTTGCAGTGAGTCTGAGATAACATGAAGTGTCATTTTATACTGTGGTATTTCCAGTTGTCAGTGACAACAATTAATGCTCTAATTGAAATATTTAAGTAATAAGGAGAATTTCCAAATCACTGTGCTTATGAAAAGTGTAGACACACAATAATTCTGTCTTCAAAAACAGGGTGACCGGGAAAGACCTTATAGTCTTTGGTCAGCATTTTTGCTAATGCTCACAAAGCCCAGTTCACAGGGTACTGAAGCATCTGAAATACCACCTGATCAGAAGTGGTAGGGCCTTATGACCTCTGAAAATACATCCTCAATGCTTTGTTTTCTAATATTAAACTTGTAATATGAGATAAAACATATCTGCTTTATCACTCAGTTACTAGTTTCTGGTGTCTTTCATCCCCTCTTGGGGCATCACAGGATACCCATGTGGCTCAAGCATAAATGATTTTTTTTTCTCACAGTGAGAAAGTGAGGTAAAATAGGAGTTATCATCTCCAGCTGAAGAAAATACTGATCTGGAGGAATATACATATCTACATTACATATGTGTCTGTAATCATTGCTATAGACAAAGACAGGCTCCCTTGAACCTGAGCTTGGGCTCTGAGGGTCTTTTATCCCCTTTCTATCAGCTTTTTCTTAATTCTTCCTTTCTGCTTAACTACTGCTCTGAATTAATGCAGCACAATGCAGAAGACTTTCCATGCTACATCCTGATACAATCTGTAGAGTATTTCAACAAGAAACCTATAAATATCTTTGTGTTTGGGCTAGCATGCAGATTCTTCCTAACAGGTTAAAATTATCTGGATAAACTTCCTTGATGCTTTCACAAAAATAAATTCCAGGGGAGGTTCAGGAAACTTGATCAGTGAGTTGGCTGTTGCTGCAGAGCTACTTTATATAACCAACATGTGGATAAATGACACACTTCAGAGGATCAATGTTTTTGTAAAGGAAGTCACGTCTCAGAAATCTCTTGTAACTTTTGAAGGTGCAGTCTGATGTAGTCTTCCTGGATTTCCAGAAAGCTCTTAAGGAAAGGAGGCGGCCTTTGCATACTAGGGAAGAGAACTCCATAGATAACTAAATAGTTAATATACAAGGATAGGAGAAAAAGGTTGGTTTTAGTTATGGAGAGGTACATGAGTAGAATATTATGGTGAAATGTGTGGTAAGGCTGATGTGATGAGATGGGCTGTTCAGCACAGTCATAAAGAAATTGGAAGGGCACAAACACCAAGGTGAGAAAATCCTCCAATTATGTCAGTTTCTAGAAGATAGGAAGAATGAATTGCATGTAGCAATTGGATTGAGTGACTGAAATTTCAAACGAAGGTTGAAATTCAATTTTAGCTCAGTATTAGGTGTTGTTCTTGAAAATACACACTCCCAATTTAAATATTAGCTGATGGATTCTGAACAAACTACTATAACTCACAAGTAAGAATTTATTCATTAATGTGTGGATACATCAGTAGCTTTCAGAAAGCAAGGATGGTGTTGAAAGTTAAAAGCAGAGATGCAGAAGACATTACATAAGTGTGTCCCTGAATACTTCCATGGCACACCCCCACTATGGATGTGGTGTGCAGCTCTGCATCTTCAACTCAATAAGGATGAAACAAAATTAGAAGAGGTCTGGTGAAAGCTATCAAGGTGTGGAAGATCTACCCTACTAAGACTCTTCGGTTTGGGAAAGGGATAACTGGAGAGAGACTGAGTCCTGAAAATCTAACGCCCTGGAGATGGTGATGTTGTATTGGTTTGACTGTCCTCCCAAGAGAAGAATTGGTCAGCATGCCAGATTAGAAAGTAGGGAGGCTTCAAATAAAAGGAAAAGGAAGTGTCTTCTCATCCAATGTAAAGCTATATGGCTGCAAGAAGTCACTTGCCAAGGAGAGGTGTGGACACTGCAGGTGTACACACATTCAAAAAGCATCCAAGCATTCCTGGAAGAGTATCCATTGAAGGTCATCGCATACAAAGCCTGCAACATCTGCCTCTGGAAGCTGATAAACTGCAAATTGTTAAAGGATGGAAAAGTATTCTGGAAATGTATCACAACACGAGTGCACTGCTGCACTCTCTCCCAGATATTAGCTGTTAGCCTTGCCATACCACTGGTATAACCATGAAGAACTGTTACAGAGGCCAGGCCCCTTACAAGTGTTTGTCTAAGGATATCACAGAAGTTTATCCCTCTGATTCCTTTGTTTCAGTTTTGTATCACAATGTAAAGCAGTACACAAATCAAAAAGAAAGCTATTGCTTTATGCTTTTAGCATAAAATAAATAATCTGAAAACCTTCACTTTCCTCAGTATATATGAAATGTCAAAATCTTTGTTGCTTTGCAGCTGTAGTCACTCATTAGCCACATGTTGACTTTCTCCAGCAGGCAATTCAGCACTGTTTGTGTGTGCAGCACACAAACTATGCACAGCAGGTCGTGTTCGGCTCTTTCCTAATATGTTTGGATGAGATGCTTCTAATTAGTTATTCTTGCAAACAGAGTAAGAAAATGTGATAAATATGGTCATGTGGGCTGACTACCTCATAGCCCAATTAAGTCATTGTTCTGTGGGGTCTGGCTGGAAGTTGCTGCCCTGTGTGAAATAGAAATAGTTTATATATACTTTTTTAAGGGCAGTCCATTGTGGCTTTTGCAAAGAAATATAATGATAGATAGATAGATAGATAGATAGATAGATAGATAGATAGATATATAATGATAGATAGATAGATAGATAGATAGATAGATAGATAGATAGATAGATAGATATTTGTGCAGACTGCTGTGCTGTGTATTCTGTGTATACAGTTAACCTTTAATGGCTGCATAAAATATTTGGTACCACTAATTAATGTCAGAGCTGGATGTATTTAAGAGTGTTCTAAAGATCATAATAAGAGCTGAAGGTCTGAGCTTTTGAGTATCAACAACCTCACCTAAAGGGTTCAGCCAATAATCTATCAATCTGAAACATCAACAGTGGGCTTATTTAAATAAGATAGCAGCTCATTTGAAGCTTTTCAGTCCATAATTTAGACAGATGCAGGTGAACAGAGAACAAATATCTGAACTTCATCTAATGCAAGCCTCAATGTCACGTGTCAGGTACCTGTGATCTGCTCTAGTGTTAGTCCTGCAGAGGCTGTGCTGTAGCTCCAGTTGAACTTGCACCTGCTTGGAACTGTGCTAAGCTCTGCTGGTGTCACAGAGAGACACCCTTTGGAACCTTGGGGGGTTGTGCTGGGGCACTTGTGCCAGATGGTGGCTATGTATAGCATGGAGAAAGTTGACATGGAATCTGGCTTGAGCTACTAAAACCCTAAATATGCCTCACTTTAAAATAAACATCTGATATGAATAACATCTAAATTGAGGGTCTTATCCAAACACAGTATCAAATGGTGGTCTAATCCTATGGCTATTCTCAATTACTGAAAAGTCAGGATACATCCTTTTCTGGGGTGCTATATCGGAAAGTCTAGGATTCCTTTTGTAACCCTTGAGACTAGATAGCTCCAGGCAAAGAAGCTTTAAAATAGCAACTTCAAAATTGAAAAAAGCATAGCTAGCTAGCTTTACTTGACTCTATATAAGCAGTGATGACCTAGCTTGTGGCTTGGCATAATTTTAGAGAACATGGCAGACAATAGAGGAAACTCTGCCAACACTAATATCATATTTCTAAGAACTGTCTAAGCATTATTAGTTCAAGTTAATTGTACGGGGTAAATGAAATTTTACCTAATAAGTACCATTTCTGGAAAAGAAGCAGTGAATTAAAAATGGTAGAAGACATGTGGAATTTTAAAAAGTTCTTGCTGCTAAATTCTCCCTCTCCTTTCAGCTGGACTTGATAGGATCTCCCCAGAGTAAAACAAAATAGATGTGACTTGGTGGCAAAGGTACAACTCTCATTCATGTTTGCAGAAATTTCACTTCAGACTAAATGGGTGCAGGAGTTTCTAATTCCTTCAGTTAAGGTATATTAGATGCCACTCAAAATGCCTGACTGTGTGAATAAATATCTTTGTTAACCAAGACCTGCTGTTGGGTCACTCGTACATGTCTCTCCTTAACTGGATTCACTTGAGCTGCACTGCATTTTGAAAGGCTTAGCTTGATTTCCCTTTGAATTCTAAGCTCTTTGTGGAAAAGTATCTTGGTGTGGCATGTTTGACTTCAGAGGCTTCATCGTACTCTGTGATGCAGTGGCTAAAGGTTTTAAGATTATATCTTAACAATCAGACAAAATTGAAGCCTTTATCCTCATGAACCTGAAGAAAAACTTTGTGCTACTAACTGGGGGAATGACAAGATTTAACAGAATTGAAGGAAAAAAACAAACCAAAATGAAAGCATAGTGCAAATGCCATTTGAAAGTAGGGAATTAAGTGCATGCTTGTTCTCAAAAGTGTGAAACCAGACAGTTCATGCAGTGTGAGCTCTGTTCCTCTAGTTTATGAATTCTCTTGCACAAACAGCTATTTAAAATACACAAGACAGAGGAATACTCAGATGAAAATTTGAAACTGAGGAACTTAACTGATCTTTAAATATTCTTCCTTTGTGCAGATTTAGTGCAATGCATGGACTTTTCATTATAAATCTGAGAAGACAAATTTTGCTTCCTTGTCTGTAGCTAATGGCTTCCTGCCAGCACTCATGGTATTTCTGACATATTTAAAATACCAATTATTTGAAGTAATGGTGACCCTCTGCCCTTCTAAAACTTTTAGCTTAGCACATAGGGAGTGGAGTTGAAAAGCAGATGGTGAAGCTAGGAAACTGAATGCTGCTACTTGCCTGACTATACTGTCCTCTAACTCTAGAATTATGAATTTTGTGTGGGTTAATTTATTTTGTGCTTCTCTTTTTTTTTTTTTTTCTTTTCCTTCTATGGAATTCATCTGCAGTCTGTATTTTTTGCTTAAAGGAGAAACCTACAGAGCTGTAAATCAACATAGCCCTGTTTTCTGTTTTCTTAAAACATAAACAATATACAGCATGCTCCAGTTCCTGCTAGAAGACTCTTAAACTAACAAGACATTTGAGTCAATCATTGTAATAGCTTAAGGGAAGTGCATGGCCTGCACAGTCTTTCCGCTTTCCTGCAGAGTCATTTGTCTTTTAAAAATGAGATTTTGGCACCCACAACACTTCTAGACAAGTAAACTTATTTTCTAAGAAAACACTTATTCAGTATAAATTATCCTTTAATTTGATGGCCTTCAAAATTATATACCCACTTGCAGTAAAGTTTACATTATTTTTTTCTTTACTGAAAGGAACTGCTCGTGTAAATCAACAAGTGAATAAGGACGTAGATAAGCATTCCCTCACACCTAAAATGGCTTTAGCCTTTAGACCACTCCACATTTACCTGGCTGAGCATCCTTGTGCTTCTGTCTCTGCATCTGGAAACAAATTGGTGTAAGAGGATGTGAGGAGCACAGGAATAGGATGAGCTTAATGCCACCAACTCTGATCATACACTTAGTTCACTGTGGCTCTCACTGGCAGATCACTTAACAGAAGAACCTGTGGGCAGCTGAAAGCTGATATTCTGATCTGAAACCACTTTCTGCACAGACTGTACTATAGGCCACCCATTCCAGTCAGAACTGTGAGCTACTTTTCCTTCCTAGTGAACAAGGCAGTTCAGCCTTCTGTATTAGGGGCAAAACCAACTTCACCATGTAGAAAAAAACAGGGAGAACAAAGGGATATAAGCAATTTAAAGAGGAGTATTTCAGCTTTTGGGGGATGCTGCATCCATCCAGATGACATGAACTGTCATCCTGCCTCTTACAGTATTTGTACAAGGAATTCTGTTCATCAGCCATACCTTTTTATGCACTGGGTCTATGAATACCTACTCTATTAGCCTTAACATAAACTGGATAGAGTGTCATGCCTTCCAGTAATATCCACAAAGTCCTTCCTTCCTTCCTTCCTTCCTTCCTTCCTTCCTTCCTTCCTTCCTTCCTTCCTTCCTTCCTTCCTTCCTGCCTTCCTTCCTGCCTTCCTGCCTTCCTGCCTGCCTTCCTGCCTGCCTTCCTGCCTGCCTTCCTGCCTTCCTGCCTTCCTGCCTT